CTGTGCGTCTAAGGTTGATGGTAATAGGAGACAGGAGACACGATGTTTACCCAGGTTCGGGCTCTCTCTATGGAGGTAATACCCTACTACCTGCTTGATTGATCTTGATGAATATGAGTATTACAAGAGTTGATCTACCATGAGATCGTAATGGCTAAACCCTAGAAGTCTAGCCTATGGAGATTATGATTGTGTATATCTACCTCTACGGACTAAGCCCTTCGGTTTATATAGACACCGCAGGAGACTAGGGTTGTACAAAGTCAGTTATAGAGAAAGGAATATTCACATCCGATCACCAAGCTTGCCTTCCACACCAAGGAGAGTTCCATCTGGACACGAGAAAGATTCTTCGGTCTTGTATCTTCACAACCCATCAGTCCGGCCCACATTAATAGTCCGGCTGTCCGAGGACCCCTGAATCCGGGACTCCCTCATCCACCCCTTGTCAAATTTGATTTGGGCAGGGGGAGGCGCGCGCCACCTCCTGTGGCAGCCTTCCCTCTCTCCACTATGGCCCATGAGGCCCATTAACTCTCCCGGGGGTTCCGGTAACCTCCCGGTACTCCGAAAAATCTCCGATCTTTTTCGGAACCATTCTGGTGTCCGAATAACATCTTCCAATATATAATTCTTCATGTCTCGACCATTTCGAGACTCATCGTCATGTCCGTGATCTCATTCGGCACTCCAGACAAACTTTGGTCATCAAAAACAGATAACTCATAATACAAATCGTCATCGAACGTTAAGCGTGCGGACCCTACGGGTTCGAGAACTATGTAGACATGATCGAGACACATCTCATATCAATAACCAATAGAGGAACCTGGATGCTCATAATGGCTCCTACATATTCTACGAAGATCTTTATCGGTAAAACCGCACAACAACATACGTTGTTCCCTTTGTCATCGGTATGTTACTTGAACGAGATTCGATCGTTGGTATCATCATACCTAGTTCAATCTCGTTACCAGCAAGTCTCTTTACTCGTTCCGTAATGCTTCATCCCGCAACCAACTCATTAGTCACATTACTTGGAAGGCTTATAGTGATGAGCATTACCAAGAGGGCCCAGAGATACCTCTCCGATACACGGAGTGACAAATCCTAATCTTGTTCTATGCCAACCCAACAAACACCTTCGGAGACACCTGTAGAGCATCTTTATAATCACCCAGTTACGTTGTGACGTTTGATAGCACACAAGGTGTTCCTCTGGTATTCGGGAGTTGCATAATCTCATAGTGAGAGGAACATGTATAAATCATGAAGAAACCAGTAGCAATAAAACTAAATGATCATTATGCTAAGCTAACGGATGGGTCTTGTCCATCACATCATTCTATAATGATGTGACCCCGTTCATCAAATGACAACACATGTCTATGGTTAGGAAACATAACCATCTTTGATTAACGAGCTAGTCAAGTAGAGGCATACTAGGGACAGTTTGTTTTGTCTATGTATTCACACATGTACTAAGTTTCCAGTTCATACAATTCTAGCACAAATAATAAACATTTATCATGATATAAGGAAATATAAATAACAACTTTATTATTGCCTCTAGGGCATATTTCCTTCAATGAGGCCTCGTGGCGGGTAGGCCTGTGGGGTCCTTCTAGGCCGAGCTCCCGAGGAACAGTGTTGATGACCAGCAAGAAGACGAGGAGCCTGCCTGGGTTCTCGAAGATCAACCAACTCCAAATCCAAATACGCCCGGGGTTACTTATGGTGTAGTACACCGGGGGTGGCTTCTCGGAGGGGAGCCCGACAACAGGATGCCATGGGGGCTAGGAGGCCCACCAGGGATCTAGCAATTAGAAGTAGCCTGGAGGATCAGATATGCATCAAAAGGCCATCTTGGTCCCAAGTCAATATGACGGCGGCCATATTGGATCTACCTCATTTAAAACCCTAGCGTCCATCACCTATATAAGTTGGGGGCTAAGGGGCTCTCATTGCCATCTACATTCGTAGAACCTTACTCTTGCTAGACTCATACTCCATCCCTAATTGTAACCCTCGCACGAGGTATCCCACCATGAGTACAAACACAAAGTAGGACGTGATACGTCTCCAACGTATCTATAATTTTTTATTGTTCCATGCTATTATATTACCTGTTTTGGATGTTTATGGGCTTTATTTTACACATTCATATCATTTTTGGGACTAACCTACTAACCGGAGGCCCAACCCGTATTGCTGTTTTTTTGCCTATTTTAGTATTTCGAAGAAAAGGAATATCAAACGGAGTCCAAACGGAATAAAACCTTCGGGAGCGTGATTATTGGAATGAACGTGATCCAGAGGACTTGGAGTGCAAGTCAAGAAGCAATCGAGGCGGCCAGGAGATAGGAGGGCGCGCCCACCCCTCCTGGGCGCGCCCTGTCTCCTGGGCCCCTCGAGCAGCCACCGACGCACTTCTTCCTCCTATATATACCTACGTACCCCGAAAACATCCAGGGAGCCAGCAAAGAAATATTTCCGCCACCGTAACCTTCTGTATCCGCGAGATCCCATCTTGGAGCCATCGCCGGCGTTCTGCCGGAGGGGGAATCCACCATAGAGGGCTTCTACATCAACACCATAGCCTCTCCGATGAGTTGTGAGTAGTTTACCACAGACCTTAGGGTCCATAGTTATTAGCTAGATGGCTTCTTCTCTCTTTCTGGATCTCAATACAATGTTCTCCCCCTCTCTTGTGGAGATCTATTCGATGTAAACTCTTTTTGCGGTGTGTTTGTCGAGATTCGATGAATTGTGGGTTTATGATCAAGTTTATCTATGAGAAATAATTGAATCTTCTCTGAATTCTTTTATGTATGATTGAGTTATCTTTTCAAGTCTCTTCGAATTATCAGTTTGGTTTGGCCTACTAGATTGATCTTTCTTTCCATGGGAGAAGTGCTTAGCTTTGGGTTCAATCTTGAGGTGTCCTTACCTAGTGACAGAAAGGGTTGCAAGGCACGTATTGTATTGTTGCCATCGAGGATAAAAAGACGGGGTTTATATCATATTGCTTGAGTTTATCCCTCTACATCATGTCATCTTTCTTAATGCCTTACTCTGTTCTTATGAACTTAATACTCTATATGCATGCTGGATAGTGGTCGATGTGTGGAGTAATAGTAGTAGATGCAGGCAGGAGTCGGTCTACTTGTCACGAGCGTGATGCCTATATACATGATCATGCCTAGATAATCTCATAATTATTCGCTTTTCTATCAATTACTCGACAGTAATTTGTTCACCCACCGTAATACTTATGCTATCTTGAGAGAAGCCACTAGTGAAAACTATGGCCCCCGGGTCTATCTTTTATCATATAAGCTTTCAATCTACTATTATTTGCATCTTTACTTTTTACATATATCTTATAAAATATTAGAAATATATTTATCTTATCATACTATCTCTATCAGATCTCACTTTGGCAAGTGGCCGTGAAGGGATTGACAACCCCTTTATCGCGTTGGTTGCGAGTTCTTTGTTTGTTTGTGTAGGTTCGTGGGACTTGTGAGGAGCCTCCTACTCGATTGATACCTTGGTTCTCAAAAACCGAGGGAAATACTTATGCTACTGTGCTGCATCACCCTTTCCTTTTCAAGGAAAACCAACGCAAGCTCAAGACGTAGCAGGACGCAGGGTATTACTCCTTCCCGGGGGCCCGAACCTAGGTAAACTCTTCATGTGGCCTTCGATCTGGCACTTCTGGCCATGTTCGCTACCCTACTAAGGGTACCGACAGGTTTATGCACTATCAATGTATGACCGGCGGTCTCTCGACTTGTCCTCGTGGTTTGAGTCATTAATGTGTTTTAGGTGTTGCACTTTGTCTTTTGTTCAGATGTTGTCGTCAAGGGTCCCGTTGCGTTGTACACGTGTTGGTGATTGTGGTTGTTTTGTGTTGGTAGTGTTTGTTGGGCTGCATGTGCGGTTGTGGAGAATCATACTTTGTGAGCAGTTTGATCATTGTCTGATTATCGATTTTCGCTCGGTATTCCTTAAATTAACTGGATAATTCTCTTCTTCTTAATTAATCGACGAGGCAAATATTTTGCATTCATTTTGAAAAAAATCATGTGAACCAGACACTCATGTTCACAAAATTCTTACATTTACGAGTTCTCTGTTTCATGCATACATTCCTATTTTGTTCTTGCACTTTTCTATTTCGGTGTTTTATGAACGCTGCATCAAAAAGAACAGTAAATCAGAGAGGTCCTAGAAAGTCAAATGCTCTGATAAACAAGTGCAGTCAACTTCTAGAGATAGTAAGGTTTTTCAAAAGGAGTTGGAGATAGTACTCCCTTCATTTTTATTACTTCGCATATTAGTTTTGACCTAAGTTAAACTTTTATAAAGTTTAACTAAATTTACCGAAAACGATCTAAACATTTACAACAACAAATATATATATGGTATGGAAACATATTGAATGATGATTACAATGGTATTGACTCGGTATTGTGATTGTTAATTGTTTTTTTATAAACTTGGTCAAAGTTTAGACAAAACTAATATGGGAAGTAAATAAAAACGGAGGGAGTAATACTATTATGTAACTGAGTATACTATTTCGAATTCAAAAAGGAAATTACCAGAGTATAATTTTCCTCAAGATGTGTGCTAAGTATAAAATTACATTACTGTCAGTCAGGTCCTGACCCCCACCGTCTAGAACCTGCAACGAATCAATCGCATGGTCAACTGCAATAAACACCGATGCATCGACCGTAGCACCGTCACAGTAAACTAATCTGTGAGAGCTAACCATTACTTAAACCATGGGCTAGCAGCAGTACAACCGATCGATGTGCTTACCACGCTGTATACTAGTGATCTGAACAGCCACTCCGCAAATCACCTCTCGCAGGTTTGACCCCAAGACTGCTCCACGATCCGAAATTTCGGGCCTCCAAGCATTTTTAAATGCATGCTTCAAGCCTTGTTCACCTGGTGATCGAAAACAAGTATTTTTGACTCGGTCATGATGTTTGCAAGCTTTGGCGTCCTGATGCCGGTGCTGGGGGGATGACGGTTCTTATGTGTGGCCAAAACGCCCTCCTCGATCTATCCCGTGAGACGTATCGGCGGCGCCCCCGCCGGATCACCGGCCTATTGTTGCCGTTGGAAGCAGGAGGCGTCGTCGATGTGCCGTTGACGCGTCGAGCGGCCAGAGGAGCAGGAGGGCCGTCTGTAGAAGATTTGGAAAGGTGATGGTCAGTCGATCAATGGCAATGTTTTGAGAATGGGGCATGGAAATAGCTTGGACACAAAAGAAACAGAAATTGTACTTGGTAAAAACAATTTAAGAAGATAGTAACATTGATCGGCTCACAGTCATAGCCGCATAGGTAAATGAAGAAACAGAAGAAAACAAGAACATAGAAGGCGCAGGGTGAGAAGAGAACCGATCGAGGCCACGCACCTTTTTCACGCGCAATGCTCCGCCGGCGCCGGCGGAACCGCTTGACAACGCCACTCAGCGCCACATCCAGCGCGTCTTCCATGCCGTCGCCGAGCCCGTCGGACGACGAGCCGTACACCAGCCTGGGGATCATCTCCACAACTCGCTCCCGCATCCGCCGGACCCGCTGCTCGTTGAACCCCTGCAGAACATCCAGCACGCTCACGTTGCCCACACGCAGCGCCTGCCGGTCCATGAACACCGACCACTCCCTCTCCTTCCCCCGCTCGCCAACCGGCAGGAACCACGGGTACTGGTCGTACGCCGTCCTCCGCCAGAACAGCACCGGCACGGCCCCGGCCACCATGCAGTCGAACAGGGACCGCCGCGTGTAGCTATCCCCGCGCGGCTGCAGGCAGAACCTGGAATCGAGGAACAGGTTCATCACCGTCGTGGCATTGTCGTTGCACTTCGTGCCGCTGCAGTCCACGGAGCGGCAGTGCGCTCTCCCAGCGTCCTCGCACTCCTCCAACAGCACATCTCTGAAGTCGTCCTTAAACCCCGACCTCTGGGCGCCGGCGAACCCGAAGAGGTTGGTGCGGTTGAGGGACAGCACGTGCCGCTGCCACGCGCGCACGTCGGCAGCGGTGCGCGGGTGGAAGCCAGTCGGGTACGGGACGCCGACGTCCAGGGGGTCAAGCCGGTCGGCCTCGATGACGAGGCGGGTGACGTTGGCCATCCCGGGCCTGATCACGAAGTTGGTGCCCCAACCGTCGTCGTAGTACCGACGGAAGTCCCACGTGATGCGCCCGAGCGTGATGAAGTGATCACACCCGCCGGATTTCTTGAAGGACGTCTGGTTCGTGAGCCACTCGAGGAGCCGTGTGCCGGCGCGGTCACGGTCGGCAACGGTGGCGTTGAGGCCCCACAGGTGGCTGCCGACGTCGAGGCCGGCGTAGAACGGCACATAGAACGCGTCCGCGAGCGACGGGTCGATGGTGCGGCACCGGTGGGACAGGAGGCGGCGGTGGATGGTGACCTCCAGAGGGAACTGGTCGGTGTTGTACCAGCTGGGCATCGACGCGTTGGGCACGATGGCGGAGAAGGCCGGCACCGTGGCGGCCGGACGGCCCAAGCCGCCGTCGGTCAGATACGGGCAGAACGAGTACCACGGACAGAGGCGCTCGCAGTGCGTGACCAGGTCATGGTTGAACTCCAGCGGGAGGTCGTAGACGTAGATGATCCCGGCCTCGCACACGCCGGGCTCAACCTCGCCGTTAGCCCAGGTGCTGTTGCAACGTCCCGGGGGCGGGAGGAAGCGCGTGGTCGGGAATCTGTGGAGGTTCTTGAAGAGCATGAGCTGGACCGCTAGGAAAGCGACGGCCAGCACGGCGATTCGCAGCAGCGCCGAGGCCGCGGACGGCGTGGCTGTATTGACCGGGGATCCCGGCGGCGAGGGGGGCTTGGTCGGGGACTCCGGCATTGGGAGCACGCCAAGGAAGTGGGAGGGGGCACTGGTGCATGCGAGAGCTGGACTGTAACTAGGAGATCTAAGGTATCGGTTCTAACCTGAGCAAGACGCAAAAAAGGATAGGATTGGTGGAGCGGTGGAGGCAGGAATAGGTGCTGCTTAGCAGTGGGTCCAAAGCAACGTATCTGACCAGGTTATGCTGAAATGGTACGAAGAAGGAAGAGACAGAATGAGCAAGCCGGCAAGAGGCTTTTGGCGATCCATTATAGTAGGAGCATTTCGTACCACAAAGCCTTGCTTGTACATATTTTGATTCTTCAGAAGAAAGTACTACTAGTACTTCTCTTCATCGCGTACGATCCGGGACTATCACGCCATCGACTACATCAATCGTCCGGACATGCACATCACGCTGCACCCGGACGTATCCGAGAGATCCAGGACCAGTGGAAGATGTGCAGCGTCGATGCTGACACGTGCAGGGAGTATCACGCCATCGACTCGAAGGCGCTCAGTAGGTTGCATCGTTTTGGGGTATTTGCAAATGTGGCCGAGTTGTGTCTCGTTGAGTGAATACAAGCCAAAAATTATGTTTTGCATATAGTTTTGTAGTCTGCAGGGCATCACTGAGCAGTTTCATACGTAATGTTTGGTTGACAATTGTTATGTGCTACGGTTGTTAACGTACGAAACATGACGTTTGGTTATGCATGGTCTATGTTGTAGACATGTTTACCACACATTACACAACATGTGCAGTACCAAATAAACATTGTTTGAGTCCTATCTAGTAAACAAATGCAAGTTCATTCTAACTACTAAAATTATATTCCGGCGTGGCGTGTGACTTGGCGAATGCGGAGCAGCGGGCGGCATTGCGCCGCTCATATCGCGCATGTTGCCTTGCCGCCTGTTCCTCCTTGGACACGACGACCCTTGAGCCCTAGGGGCTGCCGCCACCGCCGCCTCCGAGGTAGTGGAGGATGCGGCCTAGCGCATTGGTGATCGAGGCCGCAGATCGTCCTTGACGGACTGCCCGCGGCGGTTGCGGCGGTGCGACGACGCAGGCCCATCAATACGGGCATAGCGGTTGTGCTATGTCTCCTTCATGTGGCGCCCGATCTGGACGGCGTGGTTTCATGACGGGGACGATGACTTCTCCTTGACACGGCATCTGATCTAGGCGCCGCCGCGATTGCGCGCGCGGGGGAGGGGGGGAGGGAGGGAGGCGAGCTCCTCCTTCACCCGCTAGAGAGGGGACAATTGTTCTCGCTTCACGCGTTAGCGCAACGAGCCCATCTGATGGAGCGATCGCTCTCTCATGAGCTCCATCTGATGGATGAATTCATCGTCCGTCAGAGCGGCATCCGTGAGGAGGCATGACTGTTGATGTGGTTGCTACTCTTGCGGCGACGCCTAGTCCTTCTCGTCGCCGGAGGAGATGAAGATCTCAGCTCGTAGCTCGTGAGCTTAATGAGCACTCGATAGTTCGGCTCGTTAACCTCCTTGCCGGAGGAGCCGCCGCCGTGGATGCCGAGTGCTAAAACTGGCGGATCTCGGGTAGGGGGTCCCAGGTTGTGGATCTAGGGACAATGGTGAACAGGAGACAAAGGGCACGAGATTTCACCCAGGTTCGGGCCCTCTTGAAGAGGTAAAACCCTACGTCCTGCTTAATTATATTGACGATGGAGTATCGAGTATAGGTTGATCTACCTTGAGATCGTATGTTGTGTCCTAAACCCTAAGGCTGGTAATTGTGCTTGCGTCTGTATGGACTAAACCCACGGTTTATATAGGCACCGGGGTAGCATTTCACATAAAAAAATTATGTTTTTATCATTTAACTACCCGAGGACGAGTAAGAATTAAGCTTGGGGATGCTTGATACGTCTCTAACGTATCTATAATTTTTGATTGTTCCATTCTATTATATTATCAGTTTTGGATATGTTATATGCATTGATATACTATTTCATATTATTTTGGGGATTAACTTATTAACCTAGAGCCCAGCGTCAGTTTCTATTTTTTCCTTGTTTTTGAGTTTCGCAGAAAAGGAATATCAAACGGAGTCCAAACGGAATAAAATTTTACGATGATTTTTTTGGACCAGAAGACACACGTAGGTCTTGGAGACCAAGGAAGAGGAGTCCCGAGGCGGCGACGGGTCCAGGGCGCGCCCCGGGGGCTCTCCCTGCCTTGTGGGTCCCACGGGAGTCCTCCAACCCTAATCTTTGGCCTATAAATTCAGAAATACTCCCAAACCACCAGAAGCGTCCACCAAAATACTTTTCCGCCACCGTAACCTTCTGTTCCCGTGAGATCCCATCTTGGGGCCTTTTCTGGAATCCTACCGGAGGGGGGTTCGATCACGGAGAGCATCTACATCAACTCTATTGCCCTTGCGATGAAGCATGAGTAGTTTACCTCAAACCTACGGGTCCATAGCTAGTAGCTAGATGGCTTCTTCCCTCTCTTTGATTCTCAATACCATGCTCTCCTTGATGTTCTTGGAGATCTATCTAATGAAATCTTCTTTTGCGGTGTGTTTGTCGAGGTCCGATGAATTGTGGATTCATGATCAGCTTATCTATGAATATTATTTGAATCTTCTCTGAATTTCTATATGCATGATTTGATATCTTTGTATTTCTCTTCGAGTTATCGGTTTGGTTTGGCCAACTACATTGGTTATTCTTGCAATGGGAGAGGTGCTTAGTTTTGGGTTCAATCTTGCGTGATTTCACCTAGTGACAAAGTAGGGGCAGTGAAACACGTATTGTATTGTTGCCATCAAGGGTAAAAGGATGGGGTTTTCATCATATTGGTTGAGTTTATCCCTCTACACCGTGTCATCTTACTTAAGGCGTTACTCCGTTCTTTATGAACTTAATACTCTAGATGCATGCTGGATAGCGGTCGATGTGTGGAGTAATAGTAGTAGATGCAGGCAGGAGTCGGTCTACTTGACACGGACGGTATGCCTATATGCATAATCATTGCCTTGGATAATATCATAACTTTGCACTTTTCTATCAATTGCTCGACAATAATTTGTTTACCCACCGTATTATTTTCCTTCAAGAGAGAAGCCTGTAGTGAAACCTATGGCCCTCGGGTCTATTTCCAGTATATATTTTTAGATTATATAAAAAATACAAATAATACCTTGCTGCAATTTATTTATTTACTTTTATGTTTTAGTAATCTTTTATATCTATCTCTATCAAATCTCACCTTTGCAAGTGACCGTGAAGGGATTGACAACCCCTTTTTCGCGTTGGGTGCAAGTGTTTGATTGTTTGTGTAGGTGCATGTATTGGGGACTTGAGTGTTTCTCCTACTGGATTGATACCTTGGTTCTTAACTGAGCAAAATATGTATCTCTACTTTGCTGCATCGCCCTTTCCTCTTCAAGGGAAAAACCAACGCAAGCTCAAGAAGTAGCAGGAAGAATTTCTGGCGGCGTTGCCGGGGAGGTTCTACATCAAGCCTACCAAGTACCCATCATAAATTTTCATCACTTGCATTACATTATTTACCATTTTCCTCTCGTTCTGCTCTCCCCTACTTCTAAAATGTTTTTAGAAAAGCACAAAAATATTTGCCTTCTTTCCGTTTGCCCTTATGTCTTACTTTGTTTGTTTGCTCGTTTGCTTGGCATAATTTTGCATTTATTCAAAATCAGGAAGCAAAAGAGTTTATGGATCCTCATCCACTTTCTAATCTTTTTAAGATATCCAATTATGATGAACCAATTGCTCGTGAGTTGTGTGCACTAGATTATCTTTATGAAGTTTTGCTTGAAATTCGTGAATCTGAAAATTGTGATGAAGTGTTAAAAGAAGAAATTTATGAAGTGATTCACGATAGCTCCTTAGATGAAAAGCATGATTGCGATGGTTCTACTATAAATTCTATTAATGTTAGTTGTTATAATGATATGCAAAACTCTAAGCTTGGGGATACAAATTTTGCTATGTCCACAACTTGTTGCAATGATCGTGATTGGGGTGATTTTTCTTATGATCTTGAAAATTTATTTAAGCCTCATGATGAATATGCTTGTAATAATATTGAAAGTGGGTTTGGAAGAGTGTCCTTTAGGTAATAATGATCCCACTACTTTGGAGAATGATCAATCTTATGAAATTTTTGATGAAAGTGGGCTTGGAGAAGTCCTGACTTATTTTATGATAATCCCTTTTTTTTAAAGAGTGTCAACTTTGCATGCATGTGGATCATGTAGAGAATATATTATATTATAGCTATATTGTTGAATTTGATCATGATCTGACATTTAATTATTATGAGAGAAGAAAATATGGTTGTAGAAATTTTCATGTTACTAAATTACCTCTTGATATGTTGAGATTGCTATTGTTTCTTTCTTCTTCCTTGCATATGCTAGTTTTTTCTTGTCTTGATAATTTCTTGCTTACAAAATGCCTATGCATAGGAAGTATGTTAGACTTAAACTTGTTTTTCACATCCTACATGATGCTCTCTTCGTGTTTCAATTGCTATCTTTCATGTGAGCATCATTAAAATTATCAATGCCTAGCTAAAAGACTTTAAACAAAAGCGCTTGATGGGAGACTACCCAATATTTTTCTTTTCTATTTTTATAAAATACACATTATTACCTCTGTAGTAATTGTGTTTTGGTATTTTAATTAGTGTTTGAGCCAAGTAAAGCCTTTGGGATACTTTGATATATCATTGATTTGATCTTGCTGAAAAACAAAAACTTCTGAGCCCAGAAAAATAATTTTCATAATTCAGAGAAGCGTGATAAAATACTGATTAGTTTGGCACAAGATTGATATACAAATTGCCTCTGTTGTCCTATTTTTTCAGAATTGTTGGCGTTACAGAAGTATTCAAAGTTTATAGGTTGCCACGGACTATTCTATTTTTGACAGATTCTGTTTTCTTTGTGTTGTTTGCTTATTTTAATGAATCTATGAGTGGTATCAGGGGGTATGAACCATGGAGAAGTTGGAATACAG